AGACTCCATCTCAAAAAAAAAAAAAAAAGCTAAGGTGGTGGTCAGGCCTATAATCCTAGCACTTTGGGAGGCCAAGGCAGGTGGATCACTTGAGGCCGAGTTAGAGACCAGCCTAGCCAACATGGTGAGTCCCGTCTCTACTAAAAATACAAAAAAAACCCTCCAAAAAATTAGCTCATGATGGTGAAGTGGGCGCCTATAATCCAGTTACTTGGAGGCTGACGAGGAGACCGCTTGAACCCAGGAGGCAGATGTGGCAATGAGCTGAGATCATGCCACTGCACTCCAGGCTAGTAATAAGAGCAAAATTCGCTTTGGAAAAAAAAAAAAAAAGTATTAAAGTAGGCTGGGCGCAGTGGCTCACACCTGTAATCCCTGCACTTTGGGAGGCTCAGGCAAGAGGATCGCTTGAGCTCAGGAGTTCAAGACCAGCCTAGGCAACCTAGTGAGACTCTGTCTACTGTAAAAAGTAGAAACAATTAGCCAGCTATGGTGGATTGTGCCGATAGTCTTAGCTACATGGGAGGCTGAGGCAGGAGGACTGCTTGAGCTTAGGAAGTTGAAGGCAGTGAGCTGTGATATCACTGTACTCCAACCTGGGCAACAGAGCAAGACCTCACCAAAAAAAAAAAAAAAAAAAATTCAAATAGTATATAAGGGTATAGGCCTGAAAGTAAAGTTCTTATTGCTGAGTGTGGTGGTACGACCTTACAGTCCCAGCTAGCCGGAGAGCTTGATGGCAGATTGCTTAAGCTCAGGAGTTTGAGCCTTAGTGCAGAATACTTATCCCTATGAATAGCCCCTGCACTCCAGCCTGGCAACACAGTGAGACCTCTTCTCTTAAAAAAAAAAAAGTTTCTAATTCTCAGTTCAATTTTTCATATGTAATTTCTGTAAAAGTTTTTAGTGTGTGTCTTCTGAAATTAGTGCACATAAGTCTCTACATACACTTAAAAATAGGCTTTAAATTCCTTGAGCAGTTTCCACGTTTATGTGAAAAACGAGTGAAAAGTACAGACTTCCTATATACCTCTTCATAATCCTCATTTTCCCCTATTGTTAATATTATATTGCGGGTCAGGCAGTGGCTCACGCCTGTAATCGTAGTTAGTACTTTGGGAGGCCAAGGCGGGTGGATCATGAGGTCAAGAGATTGAGACTATCCTGATAAACACAGTGAAATCCCGGTCTCTACTAAAAATACAAAATATTAGCCAGGCGTGGTGGCGGGCTGCAGTCCCAAAGCTACTCGGGAGGCTGGAGGGAGGAGAATGGCATAACCCGGAGGTGGAGCTTGCAGTGAGCAGAGATCACACCACTGCACTCCAGCCTGGGTGACAGAGTGAGACTGTCTCAAAAAATAAAATAAGATAAAATAAAATAAAATAAAATCTTGCATGAGTATGGTATATTTGTTGTAAGTGATGAGCCAATATTGACATATTATTAACCAAAGTCTATAGTTTACATTCAGGTTCACTTTTTTTTGGTCGTCGTTTTTGTCATGAGCCACTACACCCGGTCAGGGTTCACTCTTTGTGTTGTACACTCTATGGGTTTTGACAAATGGATAATGACAAATATCCACCATTCTAGCACCACACAGACAGGTCTCCTGGTCCTAGAAATCCCCTGTGGTCCACTCCATCCATCTCTCCTCTCCACCCACCACCACGTGCAACCTTGATCTCTTTGGTTGTCTCCTTAGTCTTGCCTTTTCCACAATGTCATATAGCTGGAATCATAGAGTATATAATATGACACAGTATATGAAAGAAGCCCTTTTCTAGATGGGCTTCTTTTCCTTTAGCAATATGTATTTAAAGTTCCTCCATGTATGTTGTTGCTTGATAGCTCATTTATTTTTATCACTAAATTATGTCCCATTGTATGGATGTACTCACAAGGTTACCCATCTTACCTTGCATGACATCTTAATTGCTTCCAGGTTTCGGTAATTATGAATAAAGCTGCTATAAACAATATGTACAGGTTTTGTGTAGATACGTTTTCAATCCATGTAACCGGATCCTTTAACTTTTTTGTTTTTTTTTTTTTTTTTTTTTTTTTGAGACAGAGTCTCGCCTGTCGCCCAGGCTGGAGTGCAGTGGCCGGATCTCAGCTCACTGCAAAGCTCCGCCTCCCGGGCGACGCCATTCTCCTGCCTCAGCCTCCTAATAGCTGACTACAGGCGCCCGCCACCTTCGGCCTCTGGCTAGTTTTTTTTTGTATTTTTTTAGTAGAGACGGGGTTTCACCGTGTTAGCCAGGATGGTCTCGATCTCCTGACCTCGTGATCCGCCCGCCGGCCTCCCAGAGTGCTGGGATTACAGGCTTGGAGCCAATGACGCGCCCGGCCTCCTTTTTAACTTTTTGTATTTATGCACACATTTACATAGTTGTAAACTAAGCTATATATTTTCTTCTTTTCTTTATTCCCTGGGAGCATAGATTCAAGTTGCCACTTAATATACCCTCCCACATACTTTTAAAAAAGTAAGACTTATATAATTTTCTGCAATTTGCTTTTAAAATAATGAATAATAATAGTCTTTGTTATAAAAGCAGTACATGTGCTGCACTCTGGGAAAAAGTTACCATCTGGATAAGCAAAAGAAAATAAAGACACTTGCCAGGCATGGTGGCTCACACCTGTAATCCCAGCACTTCGGGAGGCCGAGGCAGGAGGAACACTTGAGGTCAGCCTCCAGACCAGCCTGGCCAGCATGGTGAAACCCTGTCTCTACTGCTGGGCCCAGTGACAGGTGCCTGTAGTCCCAACTATGCAGGAGGCTGAGGCAGAATGAATCACTTGAACCTGGGAGGCAGAGGCTGAGGCGTGCGTGAGCTGAGATGGCACCACTGCCTGGGCAACAGAGCAAGACTCCGTCTCAAAAAAAACAAAACAAAAAGCAAAAAACACTGGCTTAAAACAACTATTTTATGTGCTTATAATTCTGTGGGTCAGCATTTTGGGCTGGGCTCTGCAGGTTCATTGGTCCTGCCTGGGGTCATTCATGACTGCAGGTGCATCTGAGGTTTGACTGGCTGGCTGGCCTCACTTGCATAGCTGGTGGTTGGACCCGCCTTGGCTGGCTTTCTTCCATATGCATCCCATCTACTCCTCAGGAGGCTAGCCCTGCCATGCATGGTGGTATCCCAGGAGTGGAGAAGGGCAGCTGCACAAGGCCTAGGCCTGGATGACCCACATCACTTATGCCACATCTCTATTATTAAAATAAAAGGGGTGGAATCTGATTCCAAACCTCTGAAACAATGCAGAGGCTAATGCAATGATTCTCAAAGTAGGATCTAGGGATTCTTAGGTGTTCCTGAGATCTCAAAAAGGGACTCAGAAGTTAAAACGATTTGTCATACTACTATTAAGACACTGTCCTTTCAACTCCAGTGTAGAACGGAGTTTTCCGAGGTGTAATATATAATGTGATACTGCACAGATTGAATGAAGAAGCAGATATGAAAATCTGCCTCCTATGAAGCCAAACATGAAAACATTTGTGAAATGTAAAACCATTGTCCTCATACTTTTTTGTTGAGAATTTTTTTATTTTTAGACAGGGTCTTGCCTGCTGCTCAGGCTGGAGTGCAGCAGGTGATCATAGCTCACCGAAGACTCGAACTCCCAGGCTCAAGCCATCCTCCCACCTCAGCCTCCCAAGTAGCCAGAACCACAGGTACATGCCACCAGGCTGGGCTGTGTTTTGAGATGGAGTTTCGCCTGTTGCCCAGGTGGAGGACATTACAGGAGTGAGCCACTGTGCCTGGCCCAAGTTGTTAATAAAAATGTTTATATAAACATGACATGTCATTTTAAAATATTCTAGTAACATTAACAGCTTTTTTTTGAGAGTCTTGCTCTGTCACCCAGGCTGGCGTGCAGTGGTGTGATGCCGCTTACTGCAACCTCTGCCTCCCAAGTAGCTGGGATTATAGACACCTGCCCCCACGTCCTGCTATATTTTTTTTTTTGTATTTAGTAGAGATGCTCTACCATGCTGGCCAGGCTGGTCTCAAAATCCTGACCTGCTGATCAGCCCGCCTGTGCTTCCCAAAGTGCTGAGATTTTTGAAGCAAGCCATGGCACCTGGCCTTTTTCACTTTTTCTGACAGTGTCACTGCTGTTCGACGCTGCGCAGTGGTGAAATCACAGGTCACCACAGCCTGGACCTCCTAGGCTCAAGTGATCCTCCTGCTCCCACCTCCCAAAATGTGGGGGTTACAGGTGGAAGCCAGCACACCCAGCCCATTTTTCACTTTCCCATGGGCAGAAATCCAGCTTGATAACCCACCTATGAGAAGACGGCACTTTATTACTTATCAGAACAAATAAACTGTGCAACACTTGGGAGAGTGGAAGAAACTGCCAAAATTAAAAATGCACAAACCTGGCAGGGTGCGGTGGCTTACGCTATAATCCCAATACCTGAGAGGTCTACAGGTGAATAGCTAAAGACTATAGGAGTTGAATTAGCCCAGGCAATAGGAATTGGGGCCGTAATAGTGATAAAATGTGCTCAAGAACTTCCACTGCACTGGCCTAAACAGAACATCGTCTCATAATTATTGGGGAGGGGTTGTGGAATTGAACACACTAGGAGAAATGGGAGTTTGTTGTCTGAGTAGTCAGCAGTTATTCTCTCTCTCATCCATGTAGTTTAGCACTGACTTCTTCGGCCGAGTGGCAGAAAATGCTACCACCTTACCTTGGTAGAAGGTGGATGACTGAAAGTTGTATTAGCCAGGCACCAAGAATGAATCTGATGCCAAGAACACCAATGCAAAGCCAACAAGCAAGCTCTCCTGTAGACACCTAATTTCTCCTCCAATCCCATCTCTACAAAGGAAATCCCAGGTGACCTGGGTACAGTCAAACTACACCTTTAGGCAGTAAGAATTTTTTTAAAAAACCAAAAATTTACAAGAGACACAAACAAAATGTACTTAGCTATTTAATGAGGTTCTTAAGACATTTAGAAATACCATCTTCTGTGAGGATAAATTTATCATTGAGCAAACACAGATCGTAGGTAGCCCTGGAGCTGAGGAACAGCTGATTTTTGTAGAATTTGTGAGTCCACAGCTTCTTGATCAACTCTGCGCTGCTCTGTAACTCGATTTCTAAATAAAGAGAAAGTTAAACATTTTAAAACAGGCACATATCAAATTACTTGTAGAGGTCAACTGAGGAGTCCTGTCTCACAAGTACACTAATCTCCAAGAATATTTAGAAAAGATTAAAGACAATTTTGGATAATCCTTTCCTTGGAATGCTAATATAACCCATTTTTTTTATGTAATAAAAACAGCTCTAAGCTTGTATATTTTAGGTACACATCAAAGATAAGTAAGGGTACATTCCTAACAGCAGTTAATTCTACACAACTGGCACCAGACTTCAAATTCTAAGTTGAGCTCCCAGACTGCTAAAAGAACTACTCAATTTAGAAGAATCTGGAATACTAAGTATCTCCTGCATTCTCATTATTTAACTTTGTTTTTCTTTCTTTGTGCAATGCTGAGGCCTGTTTCTTTTCAATTCCCTAGGAAGAAGGGTCAGCAGCACACAGGAGAGAGAAGTAGAAACTTACCTCTTTTTCTGTGGGCCAAGATCTCACCTTCTGGTGTCTGGGCTTCCGTAGCTTCTTCTTTGAAGTAAGCATCAGTAAGATGTTTGGGATTTTGAGCATTGCTGATATTTCGATTTTGGTTGAGGTGGCAATGACAAATTTCTGGTGTGTTCTTCAGAGGAACTCATTGGAGGACCATTAGAGGTCCTAAGGGGGAAAAATTAATTAGTAAGTGAAAAGGGGGAACAATCATCATCCCACTCCCAGGGGTGACCATTACTTGGTTATGCTGCTACACAAAAAAGACCACCTGTTCAACCCACATGCACAAGGTACCGAAATGGGCCTCTGACACTTGTGGCATTAAAAAGTGTCACATGTAGGCAGTAGCAACAAACGTGTACACTGCAAGTATTTAAAATGGAAGTTTCATAGAACATCACAATCCAAGGATTTTCTTACCAGTCAATACAAGTAACAAGCCACTGGCCAGCTGCTTCAGGAAAAACCACCCTCTGTTAAGTTAAAAAGAAAATAATTAGTTTTCTGCAATTAAAACTGACTTCTGAATTCATAAAGTCGCAAGACTCCTAAATTTGGGTAAAGAAATTCTACATGTATATGTATATAGCTCAGCAGTTCTGAAGCAACCATAAGCTACTAAGGTAGTACTCCAGGCATAAGTACATTTTGAGCAAATGAACATGTGTAACATAACTGCACATGGAAATGGCTAGTAAATCAATATGGATTAAACTTCTGTTATCTGCCACAAATAAGTTGTATCTTGCAGATCATTTCCCCTTGCCCCAAACACAGGTAAATAAAGGAAAACTACACCTAGCATAAATGTGATTGCCACCAGGAACCCCAGGCAGCTGCAGTGAAGCTCCTCAAGCACAGAAACTCTCACCTTGCCTCTGTGGCGCTCCAGTGAGGGCATGATCAGAATGGTCCCAGGTAATGCTGGCTCGCAGTTTTCCACGGCTGACTGGAAGGGTTTTTTGCCGTGGCTCAACAGCTTTCGAGGCACATCTTCAGTAGGATAATATCTAGGCTGGGGAGAGTCCATAGATCTAACTTATTTAAATAAGCCATTCAGATTGGTGGTAGCTTAGAGTTATGTCAGCCAAACTTTGCTATAGTCTTTTTATTAACATTTAACGATTCCATTTTCATTTCTGCTGGCAGATTTTAAACTTGGAAAAGGTCAATTATGGTTCTGCATCCTGTGTGCAAAACAGGATAGAAATCATTTAATGAATGAGCTGTGTGTTCAAGCAACAAGCATCAAGCAAGTCACCTTGAATCTTGAGCAAAAATTCAAACCCCAGAGATTACACATGTGACATGCCACATTTTGCAGATTAGGGATACATGGCTTGTTTTCCAGTTCAAGTAAAGTGTGTTAATATCCTAGCTACTTCATCTGATCTCACAGCAACAAGTCTTACTCCATCATGCACAAAGGAAACAAATTGCATAAAACCAGACAGGACTGGCAGATCATGGCAAAATTAAGACACCATGCAAGGGCCATTAAAGACATAACTACAAATAACTCACAATAACCTATTTCTAACTATACCATATCATTAGTGCAGTCTCACTTTCACCACAAACATGATCACCTAATAGGAAAACGTAGTTCACAAGACAACTGTCAACTTCCCCCTCTCATGCGGTAACCTTCAACTGTGAAATTATGTGTAACTTACTTGGGAAATGCCTCAACGAAACGTCATATAGCAAATCCTGACACTTGGCATTGGGTCTTGTGTGTGAAAGGGCCAAGAACACTGCTCTAGTGGGAAATGTTCTATATATACAGGTTATGCATTATTTCATTTCATCTCCATAATAGCTCTTGAGGTAAACCTCATTCCATCTTTTTTTTGAGATGGAGTCTCCTCTGTTGCCCAGGTTGGCGCAGTAGTGCAAGTTCTGCTCTCCCGGCTCCAGAATAGCTGCCTCCCCAGCTACTCTGGAGGCTCCATGCCTCCGTCTCTCCAGAGTAGCTGGGACTACAGGCATGCAACCAGCTAATTGTATTTAGTAGACATGTGGTTTCACCATGTTGGCCATGCTGGTCTTGAACTCCTGACCTCAGGCAGATCTGCTGACCTCAGCCTCCCAAAGTGCTCGGATTACAGGCATGAGCCACTATGCCCAGCCTCATTCCTATTTGGCAGTGGATGAACAAAGTACAGAAGACTAACTTAAATTATTTAAGATTAACAGTAAACGTTGAAGCCAAATTGCAAACCCAGAGCCCTTTATTTTCTACCAGAAATTCTCTGTATGCAGAAACTTATAGTATCAAAGTATTCAGTACCTTCTTCAGCATTCAAGCATAGACCTAAAATCCAATTTACAGTGTCCTCAGCATTCACCATTTTGCGAAGTTTAACCACCCGGTACTGCCTCGCTCTTTGTCACCACCAACTGGTTTTGTAAGAGTTGCAAGAACCTTCCTTCTTTTCTTTTCAACCTGCAAGGACACAAATGCATCAACAATAACAGAATGCCAATAAAGGGTAAGACATAATGGTCAGTGGTTCCTTCTTTACCTCGATTTAGCGGCTGAGTACTTCCTCTGTACATGGCCTTCTGAACAGCATGGCAGATCGGAATAATGCCAATCTCTGACAAGGACAGGTTGCGGCCAAACAGCTTCCTCTCTCTGGGCTTCTTAGCCTTGAGGCTAATTCCTTTTCACCTTGCCACCAGCATCAGCCTTCTTGGTTTCGGTTTCTTTCTTTAGTATCTTGGCCTCTCCTAACTTTTCACCTGCCATCTACAAAATATTTTTGTAGACAAAAAGGGCATTTCATCTCTTAACAAAGACAATGACTAACCTGTACATGAATGGGCTGAGCCCTCAGACGACAATCCTCTCTTGCAAGATACAGCCTTCAACTCTACCCATTCTACTCCAACTCACTTGAGGTCTCATTTGGGGGTTGTCTCCTCAACACACTATAACTATTCTCTTGAGGATTTGAAACTATTCACACTCTATTAGGTTTTTGCCAATACTGAGCAGTCAGAAGTCCGTGGCCAACCAAGGATTTTTTATCACTGTTTTGCGAATTAGAAAACTTAGATGTAAAATGTGCCCACAGGTTGAAGCACCAGGACCAGAACTTCTGAAATTCTTTTAGTAATTTTCTGTCTTAACTCCTTAAAACTCAGTGTCTTTTTCAAGAAACTCGATTTAGGAATTGCGAACAGCAAACAGAATCAGTCCAACTGAGCCCAAACAGAAAAAGATCGCAAAGACTACAGGCGATCTTAGGTCGCGACGCTGAGAGATGGAAACGTTTTGGCTTCAGTGTGGAACCCCAACGTGGCTGCGACAGGCTCATTGTCATCCTCTCTAGAACCCAGGACTGGGAACTCAATGTACTGCTGTCGCTCCGGCCTTCCTCTAACACCCACCAGTACGCCACAGGTCCTCGAAAGGGCCTCGTTCCTCTAGTCCAAGAGAGCGGCGAACAGCCGGAGGAAGCCACATGCATTCTACCTCACCCTCTTCGTGCCCCGCCGCAAACCCAAACGGCAAAAATGAAGCGTCTGGAAGGCCTCTCAGTTAGCCTTGGGCGTCCGACCCCCGTAGGTGTCGACTGATGCCTCCAGGTTCAGATGGCGAAGGATTGAAGTCCTGAACTGAGTTCAAAGAGAAACCCCACCATTCTTACCTTGCAAGATGGGAAAGAGAACTAAGGTCTCGCTTCCGGTCTATATAATCATGAAGTGAGTCTCACTTCCTTCCGATCTGGGGCATCATGGGGAATGTAGTATTTCGCCAATGAGAAAACTAGTAATTCCTACACCGGGTGGGTAGCTCACGGCTGTAATCCCAGCGCTTTGGGAGGCCTAGGCAGGTGGATCACGTGAGGTTGGCAGTTCGAGACCAGTCTGGCCAATATGGCGAAATCCCGTCTCTACTAAAAATACAAAAGTTTAGCCGGGCGTGGTGGTGGAGTGGGCCTGTGCTGCCAGCTTACCCAGGCGCGGAGGCAGGAGAATCACTTGAATCTGAAGGTGGAGGTTGTAGTAAGCCGAGATCGCAACACTGCCTGGGCAACAGAGCAAGAGATTCCGTCTCTCAAAAAGGCGGGGGATGGCGGGCGCGGTGGCTTACGCCCGTAATCCCAGCACTTTGGGAGGCCGAGGCGGTAGATCGCTGAGGTCAGGGGCCTGAGACCAGCCTGGCCAACATGGTGAAACTCCCATCTCTACTGGAAAATACAAAAATTAGCCGGTCGTGGTGGTGGGGCGCCTGTAATCCCAGCTACTCGGGAGGCTGAGGCAGGAGAATCGGGCCAACCCAGGCGGCGGAGGATGCAGTGAGCTGAGATCCTGCCACTGCGTGCCACCGCACTCCAGTCTCAAAGACTCAGTCTCAAAACAATAACAACAGACTCCGGTCTCAAAACAATATCCAGATTCAGTCTCAAAACAATAACAACAATAACAACAAAATTAGCTGAGGTAGTGGTTAGTACTGTAGTCCCAGCTACTTGGGAGGCTAAGGTGGGAGGATCACTTGAGTCCTAGAGGTCTGGGCTGCAGTGCAGTGAGCCCTAATCTTGTCACTTGAGATAGCCGTGGTCCCCTCTCCCTTACCTTGGATTTAGTGAGCTGAGTACTTCCTCTTGTACATGGCCTTTCCTCATTCCTGTTCGCGTACAGAATGACTCTGTCTCAAAAAAAAGTAAAAAAATATAAAGTGAGGATAACAATAGTAACTTACTTCATAAGGTTGTTGGGAACATTAAATAATATACACAACAGCAATTGAGAAGCATATTTGATGGATGGTAAATGCTACAAGTGTTAGCTCTTTTTTTTCTTTTTTTTTGTTGAGATGAGAGTCTCGCTTTGTCACCCAGGCTGGAGTGCAGTGGCCGGATCTCAGCTCACTGCAAGCCCGCCTTCCGGTTCACGCCATTCTCTGCCTCAGCCTCCCATAGCTGGGACTACAGACGCCCGCCACCTCGCCGCGCCTGGCCAGCTTTTGTATTTTTTAGTAGAGACGGGGTTTCACCGTGTTAGCCAGGATGGTCTCGATCTCCTGACCTTGTGATCCGCCCCCTCGGCCTCCCAAAGTGCTGGGATTACAGGCTTGAGCCACCGCGCCTGGCCTCTTTTTTTTTTTTTTTTTTCTTTTGAGATGGAGTCTCGCTCTGTTTCTATCCAGGCTGGAGTGCCGGCATGATCTTGGCTCACGGCAACCCTGTCTCCTGGGTTCAAGTGATTCTCCTGCCTCAGCCTCCCAGTGAGCAGGGAGCAGGCGCACACCACCATGCCCAGCTAATTTTTTGTATTTTTAGTAGAGACAGGGTTTCACCATGATGGCCAAGCTAGTTTTGAACTCCTGACCTCAAGTGATCCACCCACCTCAGCCTCCCAAAGTGCTAGGATTACAGGCGTGAGCCACCATGCCTGGCCAACTGTTAGGTCTTGTTATTGTCACCATCATCACCACTATCATCTGATCACTGCATCCAGTTGTTGTTAAGCATTCTTGCCAAAGTTTACGCGCTGGATATAATACACATTGTACAATGTGCCTTGCTTTATCTCATTTAATTTTCCCAACAACCTGTGAACGATACTATTATGAGGAAACTAAGGTAAGTCCAGGACATTAAGTAACTTGCTCACAGCATAGATCTGATTCCAAAGATTGCACTCTGACCATTAGGCCGCAAGATTGAAGAGAGCGATTAATGAAGACAAAGGAGAGTTTTGGTTCATGTTAGAATTAAAATAAGAATACTTGTTATCTTTACAAAATAACACAGTATATGTGATAGTTCTTATCAAGCTTCAAAGCCCTTTGAGCCAAATATGTACATGATTTGTAATACCTTCTATCTTGCGTTTTCCATTTTCCTCCATTTGTTTTTTTCTGGTTGCTAGAGCTTTTCACTTGATTTTTTCAGATCGAAACCACCTGCTTCATGGCTGTGTCTCTGGGAATCATTTAGCCTTTTTCTGATTCTGATTGACTGAAGATACAAATACAATGATCAGATGAACACTGCCCTTTTTTTGAGAATGGAATGTCAGCCGCTTATTTGTTCAGCTCTCTCAGCAAAGCACCTCTTAGAAACTTCAACTGCAGTAAATATACTACAATGAATGAATGAAATGCACAGTTGCTTACATGGGCCTCTGCATCTCTGGCAATCTCAGAGAATTTCACCTAGTAAATAATCTTCTAAAATAGTTGTTGAATGACCTGTCAATAAAATAAAACATAGGATGAACCCTCTTGTGTTTTGTTGGTGGTATTGCAAAATTTACAATCTATTAGTTGGACAAAATAACATGTTAGTTATAAAGTAAATATTTTTATTAAGCTTAGTTTTGCATGTATAAAATTCTCTGAAATTTGTGCAGCACTTTAATCACAAAGCAGACATTTCTGCAGACACTTCTTAATCTTTTTTTTTTTTTTTTTTTTCTGAGATGGAGTCTTGTTCTGTTGCCCAGGCTGGAGCGCAGTGGCGTGATCTTGGCTCACCGCAACTTCTGCCTCCCGGGTTCTCAAGCCATTTTTCTTGGTCTCAGCCTCCTGAGTAGCTGGGACTACAGGCGCCACCACCACGCCCGGCTAATTTTTGTGTTTTTAGTAGAGACCGGGTTTCACCGTGTTAGCTAGGATGGTCTTGATCTCCTGACCTTGTGATCTGCCCCCCTTGGCCTCCCAAAGTGCTGGGATTACAGGCGTGAGCCTGGCAATTTTTTTGCGTTTTTATTAGAGACAGGATTTGCCACCATGCTGGCCAGGCTGGTTTCAAACTCCTAACCTCAGGTGATCTGTCCACCTCGGCCTCCTAAAGTGCTGGGATTACAGGCCTGAGCCACCTCGCCCAGCCTAATTTTTTTTTTTTTTTTTTTTTGAGACGAAGTCTCACTCTGTCGCCCAGGCTGGAATGCAAGGTGAGATCATGGCTCACTGCAGCCTTGACTTCCTGGGTTCAAGCAATCCTCCCACCTCAGCCCCCTGAGTAGCTGGGAGACAGTGCACACCACCATACCTGGCTAATTTTACATTTCAGACACAGGGTCTCAATGTTGCCTCAGCTGCATTTTTGTTTTTGTTGCATATAAATCTTTAAAACTGGCAACATGGTGAAACTCTGTCTCTGCTAAAAATACAAAAAGTTAGCCAGCTTGGTGGCAGGCGCCTGTAGTCCCAGCTACTCGGGAGGCTGAAGCAGGAGAATGGTGTGAACCCAGGAGATGGAGCTTGCAGTGAGCCGAGATCGTGCCACTGCACTCCTGCCTGGGCGATCAGAGCAAAAGACTCCGCCTGCAAATAAAATAAAATAAAGTGTAATTCAGATGGAGTTTTTGTTTTTGTTTTTGTTTTTGTTTTCATATGTTGCCCAGGTTGGTCTCAAACTCCTGGTCTCAAGAGATCCTCCTGTTAGCTACCATGCCTGCCATATAAATATGCCAGCACTACTCCAGGCATATAAAGATGGGAAGACTAGCTGGTGGCTCATGCCTGTAATCCCAGCACTTTGGGAGGCGGAGGCAGGATGATTGTTTGACTTCCAGGGGTTTTAGACCACCTCTAGGTAACATGGCAAAACTCCTGCCTACTTTAAAAAAAAAAAAAAAAAAAAAAGTAGAAGACAATGACTTGTTTTAAAAGGAGTATCAAGTAATCTAGAGGAAGATATACAGAACAATACCATCGATGATAGAACTTCAATGATTTTGAAATGTGTTAGGTGCTGAGTAGAGGCATGAAGAGGCAACCTCAGGAGAATAGGTTTCTTCTTTTATTCTCAAAAGTGAAAGAATGTTTTCTGGAGGAGCTGCTTGTTGGAGCTGAACTCTTGCATGACTGTTTTCAGATGGAGAAGGGTTTGAAGAGTATTCCAGGCAGGAGAATTAAATTTCGGGGTTGCAGGATGCAAGAAACAGCTAGAAGCCTTTAGAAACTGCCAGATTATGTGAGGAAAGTTGGCACAGGCCATATCTAGAAGGGACTGATGTACTAAGGGAAGGAGTTCAACTTAATGCTGGAGGGTTTGAACCTCCTCTATACAACAGGGATGGACGGATTAAATTTGTAGCATTTTAGAAAGATCATTCATTCTAGTTGCAGAGTATGTGAATATAGGAAACACTAGGGAGTAGTAGTTCTCACTGCAAAGAGCTAATAGTTTACTTTGGAAAAGAGACAAATGATAGCTAGCTTTTATCGTAGTGCTGACTTTGCCAGACACTGTTCTATGACTTCACAACCTACCCTATGGTAGACTTTGATTCCTATTTTACAGAGAAGGAAACAGACATGAGAGGAGTCAAATGACTTGCTTACAGACACCCAGGCTGCCAGGATCAAGTGGCTGGGTGCAGTGTGGCTCAGCACCTGTAATCCTAGCACTTTGGGAGGCCGAGGCAGGCGGATTATGAGGTCAGGAGATCAAGACCATCCTGGCTACGCGGTGAACCCTATCTCTACTAAAAAAATTACAAAAACAT